TATGTGTGTGTGTGTGTATAGATATATATATATATATATCTATATCTACTGCCTTCTTGCTGAAAATAACTGGATGTTATATCTGTGCCCACTCTTCAAGTTCACATCATGAGCTGTGGTGTTCGTTGTTTTACTCTCCATTTCTACACCAACACGTACTGTACACTTCACATGAGCGCAATAAGACTCAGAGCTGCTAGTATTCGCCAGAGATATTCTTAGTAAGCATATAGGTGTCAGTGATACTTGCAGTAAAAGTATACGTTACCTGCCACAGACCTTTGTGAGGACTCTATATTGCACCGACACAGAAACGCGTTTAATTACGTATGCACATTATTCATAATCGACAAACAGTGAGAGTAGAACAAAATTACCGGTTTGCTCTCTAATCCATACACAAACTTCAAACACCAACCATATTAGAGCCACTCCCTATTGCGTACGTAATATCTGTATATAAAAAACCTATTTTTATACATAGCAGTACTATTATCAAAGGTACTATATCCACATGCGTACATAACATTAGTAATATCGAAGGTACTATATCTGCATGTGTACATAGCAGTACTAATATCAAAGGTACTATATCTACATGCGTACATAACAGTTTTAATGTCAAAGGTACTATATCTGCATGTGTACATAGCAGCACTAATATTAAAGGTACTATATCTACATGCCTACATAACAGTATTAATATCAAAGGTACTATATCTGCATGTGTACATAGCAGTACTAATATCAAAGGTACTATATCTACATGCCTACATAACAGTATTAATACCAAAGGTACTATATCTGCATGTGTACATAGCAGTACTAATATCAAAGGTACTATATCTACATGCGTGCATAACAGTATTAATATCAAAGGTACTTTATCTGCATAGTTACATAACAGTACTAATATCAAAGGTACGATATCTGCATGTGTACAGAGCAGTACTAATATCAAGCGTACTATATCTGCATGTGCACATAACATTACTAATATCAAAGGTACTATATCTGCAAGTGTACATAGCAGTGCTAATATCAAGGGTACTATATCTGCATGTGTACATAACAGTACTAATATCAAAGGTACTTTATCTGCATGTGTACATAGCAGTACTAATGTCAACGTTACTAAAGCCGTACATGCAAAGTAACCTCCCATTATCTCATACACAAATACATATGATTGTCTTCACATCATAGTATACACATCAAAAGTACTAAAGGGGGTGGTGAACAGGACGGAGATGGGCAACCAGTAACACCCACAGACACAGATAAGGATTCTGGTACAGACCAAGACAATGAGGCAAAAGAGGGCCACCGAGATGCCCGGAATAGCGATAAACAGAACAAGGATAGTCCTAAACCTGATGACGAAGATACGGGTGCTGCTGGCCAGGAGACCAAGGGTAGGATATAGATATATATATATATGTATATATGTATACACACACACACACATATATATATATATATATATGTATGTATGTATGTATGGCCTTTGCTCAGTACATGGGTTTATAGTGTAGAGTGCATGTATGTCTTGTACATGCATCCATGTATAGTGCCGTACTTCTGAGGAAGACCTTGCTCAGTACATGTGTGTTATATACATACATGCATATAGTGTAGGATGTATGTGTGTTGTATTCATATATGCATATAGTGTAGAATGCATGTGTGTTATATACATATATGCATATAGTGTAGAGTGCATGTCTGTTATATACATACATGCATGTATTGTAGAGTACATGCGGGTAATGAACATACATCCATAGATATAGAGTGCATGTGTACATATATCCATGTAAAGTGCTGTACTTCTGAGGAAGTCTTTGCGCAGTATATGTGTGTCATGTACATACACGCATAAGATATACGAGTGCGTGCTTGTGACCTAAGACCTGTAAGTCGAGTTGGTGGAATGTACTTGAACTGAGTTTACAATCTCTTCTGGGGTAACTACTTGCACATTTAGTGCTCATTGCTGCACCTGCGATAGTTCGCATATGAGAGACATATAATCAGATACCTATCCGTCTTTCTCGCTTATACTAAACCCTAAAACCCTAAACCGTTAACCCTATATCACCCACAAACCGTACGCTCACCCCTACACTCCCAAACACATCACTTGAACGCAGCGGAATAGCACGTGCTAGTGGTGATGCCCGTCCGCCCTATAGGGTACACGTACACACACAACTACTGACGCACACGAACACACATTCTAACCCTAACACTCCTCACATCCACACCATATGAGCACACATCCTATCCCTAACACTGCTCACATCCGCACCCCTCCCCCCCTTCTCTGCCACAGCCAAACACCCGTACGTGCACACGTACGACCACAACCACACCACCGGCCCCGACAGACTCATACGTGACGAGAGCTATGTGCTCAAGGCTACCAGCACAAAGATAGTCCTCACAGCACCCACTCCCAGCGGACTGTTCTATGGCATTCAGACACTCCGACAGCTGCTGCCGGTCAGTGCACTGGAGACGACGTATGCACACCGCACGTCTATTGACGACAGCGTCAACGCCATCTCATCGCCTGAGTATGTGAGTGTGTGAGTTATAAGTGAGTATGTGTGTCAGTGTGTATGGGTGTGGGTGTGGATGTGGGTGCAAGTGAGTGTGCCTGTATGTTTGTATGTTTGTATGCGTGAATAAGTGAATGTGCCGGTATGCATGTATGTTTGTATGTGTGTGTGCCGGTTTGCATGTATGTTTGTAAGTGTGTGTGCCTGTATGCATTTATGCATATATGCGAGAGGGTCTGTATTCATGTATTCGTGTATGCATATATGTGTGTGTGTGCTTGTATGCATGAACTACAAATTACTTGAGTTCTCACACGTACAATACACGCACAGCTATGCCATTCCCTGTGTGATCATTCGTGATGCTCCAGCCTTCCACTACCGTGGTGCTCACTTGGACGTGGCACGGCACATGACAGATGTACCGAACATCAAGCGCTTCATCGATCTCATGGCCTTTCATAAGCTCAATGTGCTGCATCTACAACTCACCGACGATCAAGGTGTGTCAGACATGTGTGTGTGTGTGTGTGTATATGCTATATATATGTGTGTGTGGCTGTGTGTGTGTGTTTCATTGGTCTCATGGTTTTTCATAAACTCAATGTGCTGTTATTGTGTATAGGAATTGCTACATGCATACATGAATACATACTGTATATAGGAACAACTAGTACTGTATGTAGGAACTACTAGTACTGTATATAGGGAATACTAGTATTGTATGTAGGAACTACTAGTATTGTATGTAGGAACTACTAATAATGTATATAGGAACTACTATTACTGTATATAGGAACTACTAGTACTGTATATAATAACTACTAGCACACTCGAGGGGCGTACACACAATTGCCAGAGCAAGTCAATTAGACATACTAAGTAGGCTCTCACATCTGTCTACTTGTACACTATCCTTGTTTATGATTACATATACGTTCGCAGGCTGGCGATTCGAGGTCAAATCGCACCCGAAACTGCACCAGATAGGTGCGGTCCGAAATGAAACGGAGGGGGACGGCAAGAGATACGATGGATACCTGACACAGGAGGAGTGCAAAGATCTGGTAGCCTATGCCAAGACTCGACAAGTGCACATACTCCCCGAAATAGGTATAAAGTACAACGGTTTTTTTATTACTTATATATATATATATATATATATATC